TCAAAGTTTTTTGAAAATGAAGTGCAAAATTCAATACCACCCAAACAGTGTGGTGCAAATTCAAATTCTCCCTTTCATCTTCTAACCGCTCTTTATAAACCATAACCTAATCTTCAAATTGGATTCAAACTAAAGCGGTACATGTCAGTGTTTAGAGAATAGGCAATCCATAAGCGAGATGTCACAAACACTTTTTCTTTACCATTTTCTTGCCCTCTCCTTTCTTTTCACTACGGCTTCGGCTACCATCCCAGCTGGAGCCGCAAGCAGCGACTTCATCAGAACGGCTTGCAACACAACCACATACCCCACCCTCTGCTTCTCCTCTCTCTCGAGCCGCGCCGCATTTATCGGAGCCGACCCGCAGCTCCTAGCCCACGCCGCTCTCAGCGTCACCCTCCGAACCGCCCGGTCAACAGCCGCGTCGATGGTCAAAATGGCCAAGCGGCACGGCTTGGCGCGCCGAGAGATCGGCGCCATGAGTGACTGCATCGAGGAACTCGGCGACTCGGTGGACGAACTCAGGGACTCTCTCAGCGAGATGAAGGATCTCGGTGGTCGCCGCCACCGCCGGGACTTCGATCGGAGGATGAGCGACATACAGACATGGGTCAGCGCCGCCCTGACGGACGAAGACACCTGCACGGAAGGGTTCGCCGGAAAACGGTCGAACGGCGGCGTTAAGATCGCCGTGCGGGGTAGGATTCTGAATGTTGCCCATCTCACCAGCAATGCGTTGGCTTTGATCGATCACTTGGCTGAAGAACGACACGGTTAAGTATATGCATTGAAATATTACAATCTCAAGATTTCAGCGTGGTTTGCTTATTATTAGTATATGTAGAAGTAGTGGAGGCATCCCTGCTCTATGCCTTGATCAATGGCGGAGTATTCCTCCGTTTTAAAGAAAAAACTGAAAACTCGCTGGTTGAGTAAGCCCTTCATATGGCGGGTTACAAGCCCATTATAGTGCTTATTATATGTATATCATGCTCCGCAGAAAATGGGTGGAGTAACAAAATGAGTGTTTATAAATTATAACTCTGGTTTCAATTTCGTCCAAGATTACAGTGGCTTGCAACACTATAAGCATATGATCCTAAGATTTGGGGATGAAATGCTGAGGTAGGGTTTTGGAATCAAATTGGATTTTCTAGGGAAGATAGTGGCCAGTTTTGGGCCTTCCGGCGTTCTTGCTTTGATCTCTGTATCCTTCCTATAGAGCTCTCTTTGATTATTGTACCATCCTACTTTGATCACGATTTGTACCACATTTTGTATATGTGAAAAGAGAGTAGAATTCAATCCTACATTTTGTACCTAATAATTTGATTATGTATACTAATAGAAAATCGTGATTTTCTATAAGTATACAACATAATCGTGTCAAAGTATATACAAAATTAGTATATAGGATTGACTTTCAAATTATTAGGTACAAATCGTGATCAAAGTATACAAAATATCAGCCACAAGGGAGGGGTCCGCATTCAATTCAAAGCAATGATTTAGGATTGAATTCTACTCTCTTTTCATCAAAGTGCGATCAAAATAACTGTACCGCCAATTCTAGGGATCTTCACGGATGTGTTGTCATTTTTTTGTATGCTTGAAAATTTTACATAAAATAAAAATCTAAATAGTGCTCCATTTATATCGGGGCATGTTCTATCTCTCTATGGCATGTGTATGCTTGAGAGGATCATTTTCACATTAACCCTATCTGTATATATGTGCACATTTGTTTTTGTGGAACTGAGCTCTAACCCACTATATGCTGCTATCAATTTTTTTGTCAAAACATTCTATCTCTAGCTAGTTATCTTCTATATTAGTTTCTCACATCTAAAATCAACATCTCCTCTCTTATATCTCCGTGAAAGTGAGCTTACCATTTATGAAGTATGTTGTTTTCACGAGTTATGTTTCCTTTAATTTGAATATTATTTTCTTGCTTGACCTAAATTAACTAAAGCTATTTTTTCCTTTCCTTCTCAGATCAACAACTCACTCACAATATATAGGAGTATATTTTAAATAGCTATATGTCTTTGTTTTACATCTTTCATATGCTATAATTTTCAATCCATCTAGTTTTTAAGATGTGATGTTTATCCGTGAGACTAAACATTTAGTATTTAGGATATTTTCTTAGATGGTAAAGTCTACGTACTTGCTAAGCAGATTTAGTATGGAGTAGTACCCTGCGTACTACTCCATACTATAATATGGAGTAGAAGACAAATAAAATCATCTTCATTTCAACATGTCTCTGTCACATGTTTATATAGCCACATTTTTATTTATATTTCTACATTTTTATGTATCAATAACTTATGCCAAAATGTCTCTGTCAGGTGCGGAGATATTTTTTTGAGAGAACTATCAAATAAACCCTCGAACTTTCATAAAAAGTGGAAATAAGCTATTTTTCAAGAGACTTTGTCCGTCGGTCGTCATTTGGGGTGGTTTTCTGTGGAATTGTTTGATGAAAGTTTTTGAGCATTTTTTTCATCAAGTTTAGTTTACTCATACCAAATTTCAGATAAAAATTCAACCGGGAAGGCAGTCAAATGAATTTTTGAAGATAACTGCGCAGTTAGACAACGCAGTATATTTCAGAAAATCATTTGACTGCCTTCTTGATTGCATTTTTAGCTGAAATTTGGTATGGGGAAACTAGAAACTGCCTCAAATGGTGAAAGCCGGACAAAGCCTCCTGAAAAGGGCTTATTTACACTTTTTATAAAAGTTCGAGGGCTTATTTGATAGTTCTCCCTATTTTTTTTGTACAATTAGGAGGCGCTTACTTCGCTGCTAAAGTCACAGTTAGGCTAGCAAGACAGGTGAAGTAAACACGCAAGTTGCTTAAAACGCTGCTTACTAACCGAAAGTGAAGCTTAAAGTGCCGCTTACTAAGCATACCACCACCCATGCATTAATTAAGCGACACTTTAAGCTTTTTCACTTTCCGAATACACCATTACCTTTACCCCTTACCCTTACCCTATTGCTACCCAACTACCCCGCCCTACCCTACCTTACCCCGACCCCACCACCCTTGACCCGACCATACCCCACCCCCACCTACCGACCCCTCCACCATCTACCCTACCCCACCCCTCACCCCTTACCCCCTACCACCTTCCCCTACCTTGACCTGACCCCACCCCTACCCCTTTACCCCCTACCCCCACCCCACCCTTGACCCGACCATTACCCCACCCCCTACCCTACCTTACCCTAACCCCACCCTGACCCCACCCCCACCCCACCCCCTTGACCCGACCATACCCCATCCCCACCTTACCCCTACCTCGACCCCTCCACTACCTACCCTACCCACCCCTTACCCTACCCCTGTAACCCCTACCTCCTTCCCCTACCATGACCCAACCATACCCCTACCCCCTACCCTCCACCACCTGACCTACCCCACCCCACCCTCACCCTACCCCTTCCCCTACCTTGACTTGACCTCAACCTACCCCCTACCCTCCACCACCCCACCCTCACCCCATACCGTACCCCTTTACCCCCCCACCACCTTCCCCTACCTTGACCCGACCCTGACCCTGACCCCACCCCTACCCCTTTTACCCCATACCCCCTGCCCCTACCTCGACCCACCTCTACCCCCACCCCCACCCTTGACCCGACCCCACCCCCACCTTACCCCTACCCCTACGAGTTGGGGGGTATGGGTGGGAGTAGGGGTGGAGGGTAAGGTCGTGGTAAGGGTAGGGGGTAGGGAAGGGGTGGGGGTCAAGGGTGTGGAATTGGGGGTAGGGTGAGGGGTGGGGTACAGGGCGGGGTCGGGGTTAGGGGTTTGGGTAAGCGACTAAGCGTACGAGGTGACCCCACATATTATATTATGTTGAGGTTAAGTCCCGCAGATCCGAAAGCCCAACACGAACTTTGAATATTTCAGGAAATGGTCACGAATTCGGTGTATAAGAAAATATAAAAGATGGATAATATAACGCTCAAAAGCCCACTTGTATTAGATAATTCGCTGATTACACAATAACTTCTCGAACGGTACGTCGGAATAGTGATTAATACAAGTACAAGAGTAATTAAGCTATTATAGGCTTTGAGTCTAAAAAATCTAACCCCTTACAATGAAATTAATCCTTCTATTTATACTAATGGGGGTATGGGGTGCTTCATGCTGATTGGTTGCTGACCTAGCCACTTGAAAGCTCATATTCTCACTTGCTGCCGTCATATTCTAGCAATAAATGCTTCCTGCCACTTGCTGGCTGCCCGTTGCCCGAACGGGTAATGGACCCTGCTGGAATTATCATTGATTTGGCCCAAGTACATTGGTTGACCCGAACCCCGTTCGGCACATATTTCTCCCTGGGCCTGTTCAGCTTATGGATTCCGGACTATTTATTGGATTGAATATGTTGGGCCTTTGACCCGGGTATTTGGGCCTTCGGCCCAATATCCCAACACGAGTCCCCAACTTCCGATGTCTCGAACGGTAGTGAGTGTATTGGGAAATAGATTTTATACTGGCCAATAACCCGAATGCCGATCGGGACTCAGAACTCGCTGGTTTCCCATGTCATGGTTAGTACCTTATTTGCGATTGTCGTTTGATTTCTTCCATAATTTGTCGTGATTACTGACCTTTGCTCTTCCATGCGACACATGTCCTTTCATATAGTTCGAGTGACGTGTCTTTTTCTGATTGGTTATCGATTTGACGCCTGTCAGGCTATAAATAGGCCTTGAATTCCTTGGATATGGGTTTCACATTCCCATTTCCTTCGAGCCTTTGTTCTGCCTTCTCTCTAGATCCTTCAGGCTTTTTTGTGTTCAGGTATTCCCCGTTCTTTAATTTTTTCCTTCACTCCTTTTGCCTCGATCGATATGTGTTCTCGATCCTGCTCCTCTGATTCGGGGATGGATTCCCAAGGGGAAAATCAAGATGCCGCCGTAGTGGACGTCATACCTATCCCTTTTGCTGAAGGCACAAACGAGGCGGTGGAAGATAATATGACGGGGGCGGAGGATTCTTCCGCCGGTTCTTCTTCTTCCGATGATGATTCCGACGATACGAAGTCTGGTGATGAACTTGCTTCCATGGCGGCTGGACCCCCGGGCGATGTTCCTCGTTACAAAATTGACCTAAGGCTAATTAGGGAATGGCGGCAGAAGCTAACTTCTCACAATAGGGCCCAAATTCCAGACCCAATGAATTTCCGTTTGCGGGCTGGGCTTCACCCAATGCGCCATGTCCCTCGGATGGTCGTAGTCCACCTAGATTCGGTTAAGGCTGGGCTTAGATTCCCATTGCACCCCTTTTTTGTTTCGTTTTTAAATTTCTATGAAATCGTACCAGCCTAAGTTATGCCGAACTCCTATCGGGTGATGGCTGGATTTATTTGCCGTTGTGTAGATGTTAAGGTTACACCTAATTTAGATTTATTCCAACAACTTTTTAAAGTATCCCCCCAGCAGACCCATGGCTACCTAGTCGTCACTGCCCAAACGGGTCATATACTTTTAAGGGCAATCTAACCTCAATCAAGGGGTGGAAAGATCAGTTCTTCTCCGTTTCTGTCCCGGACGGTCTGATTCCAAACAACTGGAATGCCTTTCCTCGTAAATCACCAGATCCGATTCTTACTGAGATGATTTGAAAGGACATTTTTGCAGTGGAGGAAGGCAAAACCTGCAACATTCTAGCATATCTGACCCCCGATCAACTTATCAAGGATGGGATAGGTACTGCCCGCACTCTTGGGTCTACTTGTCTAAGAACCAAGTACCATGGGTCGGGCGGTCCTTCCCGTGCGAGAAACGTTCTGATCCCCTTTGTTTCCCACGTGATAAGACCGCTCGGTACTAACATTTTCCTTTGTCAATTTCAGCTCCCAATCGAGACAATCCCATGGATAACAGTCGTGTGTTAGCAGCCGGTGGAGTGGGAAAAAGGAAGAAGGCCAAGAAGAACCCCAAGGCCAACCCTTTCACCGCCACTAATCAAGATGTTGGGTCTTCTCAGCCTGTTCAGGAGCCTAATCCCATTCAACAGGTTCCCCATCAGGACCAACTCGAAGATATGCTGATCGACGATCGGTTTGGGTCCGATCAGCTGCATCATTTTACTGAGCATTTTCAGGCCGCTCAGGATGCCATTATAGACGTGGGTGAAACCCACACTGTTCGAACGGATCTCTCTAGCAGCTCTCGTTCATGAAGTATTGGAGAAAGCTGGTTGTTCTGCGAGCCAAGTCTGGTCCACCTCCGCTTTCTTCAATAACTTTGCCATCCCTCAGCTGCTGGTCGACCAGGCAGAGGAATGTTTTGCCTTAGCGGCCTTGAAGGTACTTTGTTTTCCCCCATAATTTGTTTCATATGTTTACCCTTCGTTCTATATCATCTCATTTTTCGAACGGAATTCTGTAGGTGGGGATATATAGCTTGCAGTTGAGGGAGACCCGGCTGGCCAAAGAGCGGGATCTGATCGTTGCTCAGACTTCAGCCGAACAAGCTCTTACTGCCGCCCTTGCAAACTCTGAGGCCGAACGGTAGGCCTTTGCGGAAGAGAGGCAGGTGTTCGAAAATGAGCTGGGCAGACTTCGAGTTCAACTGGACGCTGCCCAGGCTAAAGTTTCTACGGCCGAGGCCGTTCAGGTTAGGTTTGCAGAAACGCCCCCCCGCATCCTGGACGGTCCTACGGAAATTAATGTGGATCTGTCTGCCGTTCGGGATGTATTTAAATCCTCTGATGAATTTACTACCATCAAGGAGGAATATGCTCGGCAACAACTGCTAGCAAATTTTGGGGCTTATCTGGAACAATACCCCCGGGGTGATATCCGGCGCACGGAAGGTGTGAAACTGCTCGATCAGGATCCTCGAGGTAAACAGTTCAACGACTCCCTAGCAAAATCTCTTTATGTCATGGGCTGTCAGCACATTTTAGTCCCCTTCCTAACCAAGCTTCAAGAGCAGCTGGGGAGGCCGGTCGAGTTTTCTGATCTTCCCCCGGTTCCCATTGTTGAGGCTCAGTTCGAAAAATACCAACGGGATTTGCAACGGGCCGCCGATCGCGAAGCAGGGAGGGAGCCTGAACCCCCTTCTGATTTGGATGATGACGAGGATGAGGATGAAGGTGAAGGAAACAAAGAGGCCCCTGGACAGTAGATTTAATCAAATACTTCAGTAATTGTAATTCCCCCCCCCCCCCCCCCCCTTCTCCTTTTTTGCAAATGATCTTTGTATTTCCCGGCGAGTAGAGCCGATGAATATATATGAAATCTTTTTTGCTCAATGCTTTATTTAATTCTCTCTCATGTCTTTATCAATTTTTTGCTTTACCATTCGGTAATCGGTCCATTTTAGTAGTTTTGAGTTTGTTGATCATTCTTTGGATTGTCGTCCAGGCTTCAGACAGTTCTGTAGGACTTGGTTGTTTTTTGTATTTTTTCGATCATTATTTTCTTTCCAGTCGGGATTCGGCCAGTTCCATAGGACTTGTCTCTTTCTTGTGTTTCTTGCCATTTGAATTGCCGTCCGGGCTTCAGACAGTTCTGTAGGACTTAGTCGTTTTCGAGCTTTTTTGTTTTTGAAGCTCCATCTGTCCTACCTAACTGTTGATAGGACCCCCTGTTCGGGTTGTTTGCTGCCCATATCTAACAAATATTACCAACTCATTATCTTGGATTCCACAAGTCGTTTATTCTTCTGAATATCGCCCGGATACTGTATCTCTGTTGTTTTGACATCATCTTTGAACTGGTTAGAAAATCCTTCCCAAACATAGCTAATATGAGGATCCCCCTCAAACTGCCAATACTTCCTTTATTTTTTGTTCTTCAAATAGTACTCGTTCGGGGTATTTTAATCACACTTGTCATCTTTTGGGATGGACACCGTTCGGGGTGCACGCTATTATAATCATAAATATGTCATAATTGCTTGCAACCATATTCTGCCACGTGTTTGTCATGGGTTAGGGTTTTGGGCGGCATCTTTACTTGAAAATAGAGGTGCCTCCTTTTTGTTTTTTCTGTTGCTTCTTCAATTTCTTTTTGCCTCTCTCTAAGTTTTCTCTCTTTAGAGTTCTAAGGCTCCCTTGAATTACCGATGTCCTTTTATGTTATTCTCCTCCAGCTCAGAATCTGAAGAAATGCCGCTCATTCGTCATCCTAGAGGAAAAACTTCCGTTATTAGCAAGGCCGAGGGCTCCTCTTCTCAAGCACCTGACTTCACCCAACCCTCTGCATCAAAACAACCCGAACAAGCTCTCCTAGATGATGGGTGCCTATCGGGCGATGATCTTGCTATCTACAATAAGGGAATGCCCGAACGACCACCCCGCATCCCTTTTCATTTCACTCGCATCCGGAAACAAAGGCAATGCCTTCTTGAAGATGCCGAACGGCAGATCCGCCAACTTTTGCCTCCTCCTAGGGAGTTTTATGCTGAATTCATAAGCCATATGATGAGGCATCGACCGGGGTACATGTTAGTTCATTTTGATGCTCTAGTAGCTGGGCTTCGCTTCCCTCTTCATCCATTCATTGTGGAGTTCTTGCGCCGGGTCTCCGTACTCCCCGCTCAGTTCGTGCCCAGCACTTACCGCATTCTGTCCGGTTATATCATTCGATGTCAAGAACTGAAGATCGCACCAAGTGTTGATCTATTCCTGTCTCATTACTGCTATCAGCCCTACTGGACTACCAGGTACTTGAAGTTTGTGGTCCGAGCCGATCGTCAGCTATTTACTGAGAACGCTACTGCACCGGTCAACTGGGAAGAGTGGTTTCTTTTTGTTCACGTAGGCATACCGCTTCCATTTCCCGATCGGTGGAATGCTTACCCAGTTCGAGATTCTGAACCCAGGCTGGATGCTGTTCTTCGGTCACAATACGAATCTCTGCGTCTGGGAGGTTCTAGAAATCTTCGATCTTTCCTTACTTCTTCCAAGATGTTAGCTGCTGGGATTGGTAAGTTATTTGTTTTTAAACCCGATCCATCTTCGTTCAACTCTGTTCCTTATCTTTATTTTCTTCCTTTGCAGGTGTGATACCCCCTACTCCCGTTCAACATCCCATATATACCACTACTCCGTCTGCTTCCTCTGGGAAAGGCAAGGAAAAAAATGGTTGCCGACAAGACAAATGCTGAAAAAGCCCGGAAGAGGCGTCGGGTAAATGATGGTAGCCAGCTTATCCCGATCGATCACGTAGTTGATTTGACCGGTTCAGATGCCGAGCCGAAAAGACATGTTCTCCCTGAGCCCAAGAATCCAGTTTTTACAAATATGCCGTTCGATGATCGGATGTTTGTGGAGTTCTCCAATCTGGGGCCCCGGACAGAAGGAAGATACCTGTTTGGGCAAACACCAGCCTCTATGTGGTGTAGTACTTCTTTGAAGGCTTCTCCCAGTTTTTCCAATCTGTCCTATTGGTCTGACTTGGTTGAAGCAGGTCATCTGGAGGCTCTCAAGGTATAGATCCTTTAAAAACTTCCTTATGCTTACACATTTTTCGATTTTTTAGATCTCATCTGATTTTGTTTACCATTGCTTGTAGGCCGGAGTATACTACCACCGGGCTTTCTTGGCCGCCAAGCACGAGATGAAACGTCTACCCAACGATCAAGATGAAGGCCAAATGCTTCTATCTGCTGCCCGTAAGCTGATCATGGATGTGCAGGATCGTGCCATAAAGGGTAAGAGAGCTATGGCCGAACTGGCTGAGATGGAGGAGAGGATCCGGCGTCGTGATCTGGAGGTCAAGGATCTCAGGACCAAAGTAAAAGCGGTCGAAACTGCTGGCATGAAGCTTGAGAAAGTCCAGGGAGAAAATCCTCCCGTTCCTTACATTGCTGATACTTCCAAGATCACCACCCAGGCGGTGATCGATTATCAACGAGGGATAGGGCTGCATGTCGCCCTGCAAAACACTGCTTGGCAGTTCTTGGGGCCTCATCTTGGCCAATTTTTACGTGAAAGTGAGGATCCTATCAAGGCGGGGATCGAGCTTCTGGATGGCACACCAGAAGGGAAATCCTTCCTGGATGTCCTGACCGAGAAGACTGTGAAGCAATGTCATGACCTGCTTCTCGACAGGAACCTTGATCTGATCATGGAACATTTTCCAAAGCCGTTCGATCCAGATGAGTTAGGATTTGATGATCTTTTTGGGAATACATATGACCGGATCATGGAGAACAATCAGAACGCAATCCCTGATGATGCGACGCAAACTGGCGGATCTCAACCCTCATCTCCCCCGACCGACGATCATTCATAACATTTTACTTTGTTGTTTTATCCTTGTTTTCTTTGTATTTTCCGGCCAGTAGTGCCGAAGAATAAAACTTGATTCTTTCCCCAATCTTGTTATTTCATTGCTTTTTATATCTTCCAAACCCGAACTTCCGGTTCATCCATATTAGGGTTACCGAACGTCGCTCGGTTCGTCCATACTTATAGTTTTGACATCATCTCCAAGCCGTTTTGATCCCTTTATCCGTTCTTAATTACAGGGTCAAATTCTGTTAGCTGAGATGATGGCTCCCTCCAAACTGTTAACACGTTCGTCATCCGGTCATCCGGAATGATTCCACATGTTAAAAGCTGAGGTGAGACATTCTATCTTCCAAACCCAAAATTACGATGTAGTCCATTCGGTTTTTTCCGATCCGAATCATCCTTATTAGGGGTTTGAGATGACCATCTTCAAACTATAAACATGATCCCCTGATCGGAGCATTTCTTACTTATAGCTAAAATGACGACTCACTTCCCAATCAAGTTAATGACTGAGGCGAGATATTAAAACCATAGTTCCGCCCCCGGACGAACAATCCATGTTACCGAACGTCGCTCAGTTCATCCATACTTATAGTTTTGACATCCTCTCCAAGCCGTTCTGATCCCTTTATCCGTTCGTAATTACAGGGTCAAATTCTGTTAGCTGAGATGATGGCTCCCTCCAAACTGTTAACACGTTCGTCATTCGGTCATCTGGAATGATTCCACATGTTAAAAGCTGAGGTGAGACTCTCTGGAAGTTATGTCTCCCTCTTTTATCCTTTATGTCATCTTTTTTAAGAGGTGACAACAACCGTTTTTGTTGATAGTACTTCCGCAAATGTTCAACATTCCATATGCCTGCCGGTCGGCCTTCGGTTGATTGTAGGCCGAACGTTCCTGAAGCGTACTTTTTGAAGACCTGATAAGGGCCTTCCCAGTTTTGTGCCATTTTTCCACCTTCGAGAGGTTTGCTTTTTCTCGCTTCTTTAGGACCAATTCTCCTACTATACTTTGATTAATCGGATTTCCACTTGTTTGTCGAAGTATCTCCTTGTCGCTCTGTGATATTCTTCCATTCGTATTACCGCTAGATCCCTTCTTTCCTCTATGAAATGCAGTTCGGCCCGTAAATTATCCTCATTGCGTTCGGGATCGTAATGCACTGTTCGGTGTGTGGGAACCAGAACTTCTGTTGGAACCTTATCCTGGAATCCATAAGCAAGGACAAACATTGTCTCTTCTGTGGCCGTTCGGGTTGTGGTCCTGTATGTCGATAGGATATAATTCAATTGATCTGGTCATGATGAGGAATAATGTTCTAGTTTTTTCTTCATACCATCCATAATGGTACGATTCATATTTTCTACTTGGCCATTTGTCTGAGGGTATGCTATAGATGCTCTGGAATGTTTGATCCCCCATTTGACCAAATCATTTTCGAAGCTCCTGCTCACGAATTGCCTTCCGTTATCCGTGACAATCTGCTCAGAGAGACCAAATCGGCAAATGATGTTCTGCCAGACGAACTTTTGGCACTTGAAATCTGTAATGCTCGCCAGTGGTTCGGCCTCCACCCATTTGGTGAAATAATCAATTCCAACTATGATATATTTCCGTCCTCCGGTGGAATTAGGTAGGGGCCCTAGCAAGTCGATCCCCCACCTAGCAAATGGAAGAGCAATTGTCATCGGGTGTAGAAAGTAGCTGGCCGACCGGGAACCGGTGCATATAGCTGGCAGACCTTGCACTTCCTGTTATGTTCAAAGCAGTCGTGTTGGATTGTTGACCAATAGTATCCCTGCAAGATGATCTTTCTTGCCAACGTTTTAGGCCCCCGATGGCTCAAATAGATACCCTCGTGAATTTCTTCCATTACCGCCGATGTTAGATTGGGTGGAAGGCACTTTAAATATGGTCCTCCGAACGTCTTTTTGTATAACTGCCCGTTCACCAGTTCGAACATGGAAGCCCTCCTCTGAATGCATTTCATATTATATGCTGAATTTTTGTCTTCTGGGAGAGTCCCGTCCTTCAAGTAGTTGGTCATATCCGTGACCTAACTGGGAACGACGTAAGAAATAGATTCAACCTGGAGGATCATAGTTGCTGGTGTTGTCAGGGTTTCTCGATGGGCAAAACATTGGATGTGAGCTGGGATCATCTGCGCTCGGTCATTAAAGGATGCATTTTCCAATTTAGATAGGATATCTGCCTCATGATTTTGTATTCTGGAAACTTGGTCGAGTATCACCTGTTCGAATTTTTTGATTTGCTCCTCGATCATTTCCTTGTATGCCTTCATCCTCTCTTCTTTTGCTTCGGCCGGGCAATTCACATGGTGGACCACTAGTTGGCTATCTGAGAGGACCTTGAGCCGATCGGCATCCATGGTTTTTGCATACTTTAAACCTGCAATGAGGGCCTCATATTCGGCCTCATTGTTGGTTACTTTAAAATCAAAATGGATGGAATAGTATGCTTTAAACCCTTCGGGTGATGTGATCACAGCTCCACCCCCACAACCTTTTGTGCTTGATGTACCATCCACATACATCTCCCACCAGTTACCTAGTATGCTGCTCTCTGACTCAGTTTCCAAAGGCTGAGCGGTACATTTTGCTATAAAATCTGTCAAGGCCTGGCCTTTGATAGTGGGTCGAGGTCTAAAGTCTACCTCATATTGCCCGATCAGGAGGCTCCACTGGGTCGAGGTCTCAGGATGGTAGCTAACAGCTGAGTTGTATACACGGTTATTGGATGTGCTTGAAAATAGGGTGCAAGTCGTTTGATGGATGCTATTAGGGCCAATACCATTTTCTCCATTAGGGTGTACCTAGTCTCCGGCGCGTTCAGGGCTTTACTCACAAAATAAATGGCCCACTTGACACCATTTTCTTCTTTTAGTAACACTGAACTTACAACCAAATCGGCCACGGCAAGGTACATATATAGGTGTTCCCCGGGGTCAGCTTTTGTTAAGATCAGGGGAGAAGACAGATATAACTTGAATTCCTCGAAGGCCGTTTGGCATTCGGTAGTCCATTCAAAGGGGTTTGCCTTTTTCATAATCTGGAAGAATGGGATTGTTCGGTCGGCAAGTTTGGACAAAAATCTGCTTAAGGCTGCCAATCGGCCAGTCAATCTCTGAACCTCCTTCAGGTTCCTTGGAGCTTCCATATCCATGATTGCCTTTACCTTTTCTGGGTTAGGCTCAATACCCCTTTCACTCATCATGTAACCTAAGAATTTGCCCCCCTTAACTGCAAAGGCACATTTCTTGGGGTTCAATCTCATGTTTACCTTCTGCATTATCCCGAACACCTTTTCCATGTCCGCGACATGATCCTCCTTCTTCCGGCTTTTGATCAGAAGGTCATCAACATAAGCCTCCATCGTTACCCCCAATACTTCTTTGAAAAGTATCCCGATCATTCTTTGGAAGGTAGCCATGGCGTTATTTAACCCGAACGGCATCACAATGTAGTAAAATACGCCATATGATGTGACAAATGCTGTCTTCGATCTCCGCATCATCCAGGTGCATAAAAACTTGATGATATCCCCGGAAGGCATCCATGAAACTCAACAGTTCGCACCCAACTGTTTCATCTACCAGGAGATCAATCCGTGGCACCGGATAGGGATCCATTGGGCATGCTTTATTCAAGTCAGATTAATCTACACACATTCTCCATGTGGATCCCTTTGGTGCTAGTACCACATTCGACAGCCATTCCACATGGATAACTGGCCGGATGTGCTTGATCCACGGTAAGGTAGCAACTTCCTATTTAGTGAACTCACGCCGGTTCGGGCCCGGTTCCGGGTTTTTTATTTTTTATTTTTTATTTTTTTAACATTTCGGGTTGGGCTGGGTATTTTGGGCCATTTGGGGCTGATTTGGGGGGTTGGGGGTTGGGGGTGGGGTTAATTAGGAAAAGGAAAAAAATTAAAAAGACGCCCAGCCCGGACCCGGACCGGACCCGGTGGCTACCCATTCCTAGACCAATTGATTGGTTATAATCATGGGTCTCTTGGATCTTTTCTCAAGTATTTGTATGAACATGCTCATAAACATCACTCTAATAATCTCTTTTTATATCATTATATATGATATAAAGGTTCAAAAGGAGGACATGCTGACAAAGAATAGTAAACATCACTCCCTCTCACATTATAGATCATATGCAACAATGTTAAACTTTCAATACATCTTTAAATAAAAACGACACATCCAATAAAAACAAGGGTGAATTCCCTAAATAGAAGTAAAAAAGTTTTTAAATTCCAAAATAGGACTCATGTTTTTAATTTCTTGAATAGGAGTAAATTTTTGAAACCTTTCCTTTTAGAAACCTTTCCTTGATAGTTGACAGTTCCTGAATTGAAGTAAAATTAATATTTTGAAAGATATTACTTCAACCAATTGACCATCTATAGGATTTAAAATGAATTCAAAGACATTAAAAATAATCTTAATAAGTCATCAAAGATAGAGGCAACATTAGCTAACAATCCGACACTATTCCAAAGAGTAAGAGATTACTATTGTACAATGAAAGTTTAGGCGAAGAGGCCTCTTTAAATAAAATCTATAACAAAATACATGTATAAAAAATATGATTAAAGAAAAACTAAACAGCGGAATATCATCAATTGAACTTTCAATCCTGCACCCCTTCTAAATGCCTTCTAAATGTGATTATAATTATGTATTCCCATCTACGATTTCATAATGGGTCTGCCATATAATCAAGAAAATAGAATAACAATAAACGTCAAAAGAAATTAAATAAGATTAATATATAAATGGGCACATTGTCTGAAAACATACAATACGAAATCCGAGATATAACGCTTTCATTTGAAAAAGATGACAAAAAATAGCTTTTCTGTTGTCAACAAATCATTGCATAGACAACTTGCAATAACTAAACAAAAAATAATGATGGGAAATAAATTTGTAGACAACTTGTTATCTAAAATAGTTAACATATGCTGTCAAACTAACCTTGAGAAAGGGTGATTGTTAGTGCTAAATTTTAAAATTCTGGAGTAAATGCAATGCTATTATAACTCAATGAATGAATTTATTCTGAAGCAGATAACATGTTATTATAATGTCAATTTGTTTCTTTAATGCTATTTTCAAAAGAGCAATTATTCATATGACTATGGTTAGCTGGTTGAAAATTTTAAAGGGTGAACTGGTTTAGTAAAAAAATAAATGAATGGAAAAGAAGACAATTAAATTAAAGTGTATATGATAGCATATAATTTAGTTGAAATATTTCATATCTATGTTTCTTTTATATTTGAGTTATCCACTCACCACAATATCTCTCAAAATTTACGTGACTCAACTAGCATGTTTTATTTTTTTCTAATGTCGTTTGATTTAAGCATTTTATCGAACATCACATATGCAGAAATGCAGAATAAATAGAGAGTAGTTATACTATACAATATGAGTTTTGCTCCATATAATAGCATCTATTAAAGCTTGACAATTCATTCAAATTAAATACTAATCCATGTTCTATTCTTAATTAACCATAGATTGAAACTGAACCAAATATTATTGATCCAAAAGTATGGATTTAACAGGTAACCTAATCAAAATAAACTCATCATTTTGACTAATAAAATAGGTTACCAAGAGTATTCATTCAAGATTGCCTAACTAATTGAATCCAACCATTTGAAATAAATTTAAAATTTGTTTTTTTTGGAGTAAAAATAAAAAATGTATTTCGAAAAAATATGTCCAGAACATAGTATATTTGAAAAACACTTGGGTTGCCTCGCCCATCTTCAAACTTGTAATCCATTTTAGCACAAAAATAAGCTGACCGTATGTTGACACCAGAAGCCCCAAACTGGAAGAAATCTTATCATCTTCTTCTTCCTAAAGCCCGCAAGCTGCAGATATAGATCCTAGAGAATGAGACTTTGCTTACAAATGAGACTTTGTAAAGCTCGCCTGACTCATGTAAGGTGCATTACTTAGAAAATATCACATATACTATTATGCAAGTATCAAACATGATGTATATAACATCATATTGAACCAACTACATTAAAAAGTCACGTTTCTAAAAAATAAAGTCATGATTCACAAAAATAAGTTAATGCATTTGCATCATTTTCATGAGCCAAGTAATTTTTTTTTCAGATCGGGTCTGTTTTTGCTGATTTGGCAGCTTCAGGACCTGTGGCTGAAGTTCAATTTTCATGTCCTGTCACTAGTAGAAAAACAGCTTACAATGACACTCTTTTAATGACACTAGAGATGATATTGAACTTTAATGACACCTTAATATCAACGATGAGCAATAGTACTGCATCAAAATACAACGGTGACACTCCAATACAATATTACGAGTACTACGTAGTATGCATTCAATTTAATAAACTACGGAGTACATAAAGTAGAAGCTTTCTCCACTAGCAGTCTAGGGTTCGGGCGCTAACTATTTTGACGATCTTTCTTCTTTCTTTGAGCAAAGCCTATTACGAGATGTAAACGCCGATGAAACATGGCCACGCTGAGCTCGAACATGAACATCGGGAACCATTTCTGAGTTCTGACCGCACCATGGCAATCGATTGCTGGCGAAGTGGCGAGACTACTATTTCCGACGAGTTAACTTTTAAAGAGCTTCATATCCCGCTCCGCTGGGAGCGAGTAGTGCAATGGATGAACTTCTTGCTTCCTCCGCCACAACAAGAGTAAAACCGGTGTGGAGTACCTCATGGACAAATTGTTGAAGCTCTGCTCAGGTATCTCCTATTTTCGCCATCTCACTGCAAGAAAAAGTGTTACTAGCGTCCATACTTTTTGCGTTAACATGTATGGTCGCTAATAATATATCTTTTCCGTCCATGGGTGAACGCAAAAAATATTAGTACATACGAAGTATATGCTGTTTGATCCCGCCGACGCTAAAGCCTAGAGATATACGGAGTATTGATATTGAAATAAAACTAAAAACCCTTTAATTTGTTAGCATCTGCGCGTATTAAAGTTCCGCAAGAGTGTTAGAATCTCGGAGTGACAAAACAAAACATAAACCCTAGCTATTTGCCTGGAGAATTTGAGCCGGACAGAGAGAAATGAGGCAGAGGAGAAACAATCCGAGGTTGAAGGAGCCAGGAAGAAGTTCTGCCGCTACTCGCTACTCACTACTCGCGACTATGCATCTCTACCTAGGTTTCATTGATGAGAACGAAGCTTTGTTACCTTTACTTATCGATGTTCCTGATCTGCTTTTGCAGGTATTTCATGCTATACACTCAGTTCAATTTAGGACAACCTCCAGACATAGGATTTCTAGCATATTTCATTCTCTTAACCATCAGGTAATTGTATTCGTTCATAACTTCATTCTTTTTCTTCAAATGCTAAATAGGAATATAGAGGGAGAGGACCGAGTGATGCACCTGTCAGACGAGTTGAGATGTGTGGATAAGAGGCAGGGAAGAGAGGGAGAGGAAGACCCAAATAGACGTGGGTTAGGGGAGTTCGAAGTGATATGCTCCTTCTGGGGTTGGATGAGGGCATGACTTTGGAAAGAGCTAAGTGGAGGGCGGGGCGGGTATTCATGTGGAGGAGTGATATCGTATCATCTTTTCCCCTCATCTTTTTTCCTTGTTTTTTATCCTTATATATAAGCATTATTTGTATCCTTTTTATTTTATCATTTTTATGTATATTCATCTTTTTTTATATTATCTTTTTATAATAGCTTATCTTTTTTATCTTTATTTTCTTTCTTTTCCTTTTGGTGGTGATATCATATATAGATTCATGTTAGCTGACCCCAATATCTTTTGGGACTAAGGCTTGGATGTTGTTGCTAAATAGGAATATACCTTAGATTATTATTCGAGTAAATTACCTACTTTCACAAAAAAAAATTAGCAAATGACCCCAAATTTACTGCTAAATAGAATAAATTAGATTTCTCTTAATTCGAGTCCACACTTTCGACAAGTATTCCACAAGTTACTGTTCCTGACCCCAAAAATTTACTTTCACAATTTCTCTTAATTAGTAGTCTAATTTACTTTCACAAAAATAAATTAAGGGAAATCTAGTTTATTCTAGGACACTTTCACACATACTTAATCATTCACTAAGAGATTAGTAACGGTTAAGGGGTCATACGCTCATTCATTTTGGCAATAATTTAGCTACCTGTCACATGAGAGATCAGCCTGGTTCCCTAAATTATTATACTCTACGCCGCGAGAGCGGTTAGAACTTAGTATTGACTAGCGTTGCTCAATTAAATAATTTTCACATGATTAAGCCTAATCAACCAGAAATCTTATTACCCCGAATCAATCTCTATTCCATTCCGTCATTAATTAGAAAGAACCCCTTAATTTTATCTGCTTATTCGCATTAGTTAATTTTTTCAACAAATCAAATCTCGCACATCAAATTTTATTTTATTTATTTTAATCGCTGAATTTAGTTAATTCCTTATTCCTTTTTTCATCCCTATGGAATCTTATTACCCCGAAAAATGCATGCTTTTTTGCCTCTCAATAACTTGTACTACAACCTACGCCCCAAAAAAGTCATCTTTGAAAAACTATTGTGCCCCCCAAAAGCATTATTTTAAAAGCTGATTAAGGTTAGACATAAAGTTCATTTGATCAGGGGTTGTAAAATATTTTTCTTTGCATACCTAAGTAAGGTCGGACATGAAGTAAATGTACTTCCTCTGTCCAGATTCAATTCCTAATGCATACTTATTTTATGTCAAATCAAGAGTATTTGGTATGTCATGATCTTTGTCATTAGAGTGTTTGGTATGTCATGCACAACTTGCATGTGCAAATAGGTAGGTTCTTCCAAAATTTTATATATAAGATGCCATGGATTACTTTTCTTTGTTTAAACCCGACAGCAAACGACCCAACTTTGTTTAACGGTACGTGGGGCAAATGTTGAGGAATATTTATCGAGTTTTATTAAAATATAAAAGATAGATGCCATATATTTACTTACGTTAGTATATATACATGTTATCATAATAATAACTGATTGCTACTTGTTTATGTTTCTTCTTTTCTTTTTTCCCTCTTTGGTATTTTCACAAATACCATATATATTGTCTCCAAGGACAAGATTGATAATTGCACCAGTTTGTATGAGGCCCTTAATATTGCTTCTAGCATGTTTATAGGCGACATAAGATTGCTCATTTTTATTAATGGATGAATTTAAAATGAAGTATTAACATTTACTGATTTTTAAGTTGCTAACTTAAAAAGTTAAAATGTCTCTTTTGTAAGTTAGGATGAATTTATATGCAATAATTCATTGCTTAATAATATGAAGATGTCAGGGCTGATATGCACAAGACGATTGTAACCGGTCATAGAAGCACTCTCACATTGGCTGCATGCATGTACACCACCTCCACATTTAGTAAGCACCTTATTACATAAGTGATTATTTTAATTTGTATTCATATATGTGTGTTTATTCATTTCATATTCAACATATGAAATTAATTTCATTTCAAACAATCTCAACAACCTCATTCTAATAGATGCAGGGACATATGATGAAGTAATAACAATTACTTCATCACTAAGCCACATCAAGCTGCTTGGGGCCGGCTTGCATCGAACCATAATAACTGGTCATAGAAGCACCCCTACCATGGACACAACGTACACCACCCCCACAGTTAGTAAGTAGCACTACTTTTTCTTTTACGTACATACGACTGTTTTTATATTCATATAATTTAGGGGGGAAAGTCAAATAAATCTTTCTACTCGTGTGCAACCATAACGTAAGCTCCTATACTAAAAAATTGATCAAAAATTCAAAATTATGGCCGTTAAATTTGAACGAACTCGTTAATTTTTAATTTTGTAACTTTGACACAGTTACATTTGGTAAAAAATTATACACTTTTATACACATTTTCAAAATTATTTAATTTGCACCTGAAGTTTTTGTCTCTAAACTTAGACCATAGACAAAAAATGTTAGTTGAAAAATTCAATTTCATAGAAAATAAACATCGGTCGGGAAATCTAATTCAAAGACAATAAATGTCTGGGAGAGACAAAAAATTATGACAAGGCAAGAAAATGTATGTCTAACAAATGTTCAATTTTTTCGCATCAAAGGAATCTATAGATTTAGACTACTAATAAATAACGTTGATCGAAGAAATGATTTTACAAACAATATAATAAATGTCTGGTACAAAAAAATTGATACTGGGTAAATATTGTATTCTGTTAATCCGATTTATCAGAAAATTGTATTGATAACTTTAATTTATAAAGTTATAGCAACAAAAAAAAACTTGGTCGAATGGTTTTTGTCTATGGCAGACAATTTTTATCTGTAAAACTGGAATTCTCTGGTCGATATTTTTCTTTCTATGACACAATTTTGCAGAAGAAAATTGGAGTACGAAGCTTTTTGAAACTGTGAACAAAAAGTATAATTTTTTATGTAGCCCAAAGTATTTTTGTATGTGCGAGACTATTAATGTCTATAAAATATGTTTTTGCGATCAAATGTTTTGTCTAGGGCCTAAGTGTAGAGACAAAAACTTTAGGTGCAAATAATTTTGAAAATGTGTATAAAAGTGTATGATTTTTTTATCAAATGTAACTATGTCCAAGTACAAAATTCAAAATTAACGGTGGTTGTTCAAATTTAACAGCGAAAATCGCATTTATAAAAATTCAAAAACCTAGGGATGATATTTATGAGTAAAATATTAAATAAATGGAAATTAAATTTCAATATAAATAACTGCTTAGGGACTAAAAGTGCGATTCTCCAAATATAAAAAAATATTTAGTAACAATCCCTTTTATTTTTCAAAGATCGAGAAAAAAGAAAGGAGAAAGAATAAAAAAACACTGGGATAGCTAATAAAGGTTGAAATAAGAAAAGGAAAAAAAAAAGCTAAAAATGTCAAAAACGTACTGTAGTAGGTTGATTTTCGGTCAAGGAGCCTAGGTGAATTGTTTTAAGAAGTAAATGCATCTATATATAGAGCCGTCAAAATGGGCCGAAACCCACGGGCTGGTCCGTTTAAACCCATTTATTGGTGGGTTAGGGTTGTAAATTTCTGACCCATTTAGTTCGCGGGTTTCATGGGTCAACCCACGCGGGTTGTGGGTTTAAGTGGGTTGGCCCACTAGGTTGTGGGTTGGCCCGCAGGCCAATATACAAAAATATAGTTTTAAATTTTATTATCTTAAATATTGTCCTTTTACTACCAATATTATTATAATTACAAATAAAAATTAAAATCATGGGAAAACAGTACTTATTTCTATAATAAATTTTCAAATAAAATGTTGAAACATATATGTTATGTGAAGTTCGATACAATATTTAACAATTAGTAGTCATTATTTACAAATAATTAATCAAAAGGTTATGTAGATCTTTATTTTTATACAATGAGTATTTTTGTCGCATACCCTCTTATAGTTTTCAAATTCTCGTACAACTAGTATTTAATATTTTTTAATTAAACTTAACAAGTATTGAATTTTTAGTATTTTGATTTCTTATATTTCCTTTGTTACTACTTACTAATATAAATATATACTTCCGGGTAATTATTTTTAATTTTTTTTGTTATATATTTTTTTTACATATTAGCCCGCGGGCCAACCCGTTTAACCCACGGGTTAGGTGGGTCAGGTTAGGGTTGTAGAAATTCTGGCCCGTTATTAAACGGGTTGGCCCGACCCAACCCACATAGACCATAACCCGTCATGGGTCGGGTCGGGTTGGGTCGGGTTTGCCCGTTTGACAGCTCTATCTATATATCGTTTTTTAGTACATAGGCTTAGAGGATGGTTTCGTAACGATCGAAGGGCTTATTTGACCCCTTTTTCCTGTTATTTATGAGTGCACTAATTGCATATTCAACATTTTGATGGTAGATGAAAGTGGATCAGACTTTATTGCGGAAGGGATAACCTTTCGAAACACAGTTGGACCACAACATCGTGCAGTTGCTCTTCTTGTCCAGGGTGACCGTTCTGTATTTTACAGGTGTAGTGTGGAAGGGTACAAGGATACTTTAAGCCCCCTCCAGGGTATCCTTTTTTTTAGAGAGTGCTATATTTACGGTACCGCTGACTTTGTTTTTTGCAATGCACGAGCGGTGTTCCAAAACTGCATATTATATGCAAGGAACCCCATAGCTGGGGAGGATGTCACCCTAACTGCCCAAGGAAGGGTGATCACTGACTTACGTGGAGGATTCGTATTTCAGAATTGTCAAATAAGGGCAACCCCTGATCTAATGCGGCCTTCAACTAAAGTGTTTTTGGGTAGACCCTGGACAGATTGCTCCCGAGTCCTATTCATGCAAAGTCGTATGGAATCGATAATTGATCCAACGGGTTGGCGAGAATGGGGTGAGGGTTCTAACGCATCATCATCAACCTGCCTTTACTATGGGGAGTATAGGAACACAAGGCCAGGGGCATCCACAAACCGCAGGGTAGACTGGCCAGGATATCACAAAATAACCAGGGCAAGTGAAGCTATACTTTTTACCGTTCAGAATTTCATCAATGGTACGACATGGTTGCCCGGCACAAACGTGCCATTTAAATTAAGCAGGTCTTAGGAGATGATGAAATGGCGTTGTTTAAAATATTATTGTCTGCATGTTATGCTTAAACGTTAGCGCATCTCCAATGCTAGAATGTGCACGTTTCACATGTGCCATGAGAGAGATAGACACAAAATATTGATTTTATAACATTTCTCTCTCCTTCTTTCCACGGTCTTATGTGTTTTTGGTAAATTTTTCTCTGCAATGTCAACCACAATGTCTATATCTAGACATTGTGAAGAAAAACTTACCAAAATGATGTAAGATCCTTCAAATAAGGAGAGATATTCTATATATTGTTTTTAATTGGTTATTTCTCATGCCACGTATGCACCGTCAATGTAGTTTTATTAGATTGTTATATATAATACTGTCTTGATACTATGGCACATATTTTGTTTTTTGTAATTTGTTCAATATTGTAAATTACCATGCACAAAAATAATTCATTTGGGGCATGAAATATTTAAAGCACACAATGGAATCTTTTAAAAAGTTGCATTTACGACATGCCTTTATGAAAAGTAATGGCAATGTGAATTGTGTCTGTGTGTGCGGCAGGGGCCCGAAATGAGATACTTCCTCCCTTTGACCATTAATATTTTTTATTTATCGTTAGTAAAAAAATAAAAAAAAATAAAATGAAAGGAATTTAACAATATTTTTAAAAAATTTAGTTGATAATGCATCAATAAATATAATGTAGTCAAAGTAAAATATGTTGCAATTAACAATTAAGAGAGAACGGATTGTATAAAATAGAAGGCCCTGAAATAGAATGCAAACCAATTAACAAGAAAAGAACTATCGAGATTGAAATATATTGACAAATCCAAATTCAAGTTTTCTAATTCTAGGAGGCATTGCAAAACATATCAATCTAAGACCTAACAGATAATGAAAGAATCAAATTTAAAAAGTAGGAATAAAAGCACCTGGTATCGGAGGAGAAAGCTGAACTGTTGAACACTCATGAGGAGAAACGAGTCGAACCGCTGAACACTGTGAGCGCTAGCCGTCGAGTGAAGCCCCGTACCCTGGTCGACTGTAGCCTGATTGCCTGGTCGTGGGCAGACTTGTTCGGAAGCTCGTCTGAAACATTGGGCGATTGAAGGCTCAAGAAATGCGAAAGTCTGATTAATTGACAATCCCGGAATAAATGCAATTTCATCTCTGCCGCCTCCAATATCCACACGACTTTTTTGAAGGTTAACGGTTGTTGGGAGGGTGACTGGCATCACTCACCTGCCAAAAAGAAACATTTAATTTTTGGTGGAATATTAAAATTTCACATCTTTGTCCACCCCACCTAGTCTCCCGCTTGTATTCTCCTCTCAATTTTGGATACCCACCCTTCACCGTATAAATGCCTCTTGGATCCGCATTCCACCATATACCATCCTAAATTCTTCTCTTACTCAAAGGAATAGCAAGAATATTTTTCTTTTCTTCCTCCGAAAATAAGCTTGAAACTCTGTCTACATTCCAACTCTCCCCATTCTCATTTAAAAGTGCAGCCACATTCATTTCTGCAATCTCGTTTGGCGGCGGTGTGTGAATCATGTAGTCACTTGTCCCGAGTAGCCACTTTTCCTTCCATACTGAGATTATTTGGCCATTTTTCACTTCTGCGTAAATCGATGTTCACTAATTCCTGTGCATAAAGTATGCGGCTCCATACAAAGGGTGATTTGCTTCCTGTTTTAGCCTGCAAAAATGAACTGATATCAAAATATTTTGCCTTCAAAATCCTCCCAACTAGCGAATCATGTTGCTTGATGAGCCTCCAAGCTTGCTTTCCCAACATAGCTATATTAAATTCCCATAAGGAGCGGAAACCTAATCTCCCTTCTGTTTGGGAAAATACAGAACTTGCCACGATCTCCGGTGGATGCCCCTTCTAGCTAAACCTGAGCCTTCCATCGGTAGCCATTCATTATGGTTTCTATTTGCGAACACATTTCTTTTGAAAATAGAAAATCATTCATAGCATATGTAGGCATTGCCTGGATAACTGTCTTCACCATAATCTGCCGCACTGCTTTAGAAAAAAATTTATTGTTCACCTATTAATTCTGCTAATAATCTGCTCCTTCAGGTTTCCCAGGATCTCAGTTTTCTTTCTGCCCGCCAATGCCGGCAATCCCAGGTAGCGTGACCTATCAACCTCCTTATTTACCCCCAAGAAATTACAATGCAATACTTGAGTCCATCCCTTATATTCAGGCTGAACATCACCGATGATTTCTGATAATTAATTTGCTGGCCGGACCCTTCTTCATACCATTGTAAGATTGTCTTGACCGCCTGACATTCCCGTTCCCGAGCACAAAAACATAGATAGCTATCATCTGCAAAAAAAAAGAGAAACTCTCGGTGCCCGTCTAGCCACCACAATATCCAAGATATTTCCCATATTTTCCTGCCACCTAGTTAACGCACTCAAACCCTCCGCTATCAGAATGAACAAATAAGGCGACAACGGATCCCCTTGCTGGAGTCCTCTTGTCGGATTAACCAGTCCAATCAAATCCCCATCAAAAGGGATATAGTACTCCACCGTGGAGCAACAAGCCAAGATTTAATTAATCCATTTAGGATCGAAATTCATACTCTGTGATAAGTTCGTATTTGAACACGCATTTGATGTGGGTTGAGATTGAATTTTGTCACTTTTCCTAATTTATTTGCGTCACTTAGCATTTATTTAGTTCAAATCACGGTTTACCGGGTTTGGTTGGCTATCGTTGAAGAAAAGAAGGAATTAGGACACGGCATCGGCGTTTGAGCATAAGTTGAGAAGATTCGGGATGCGTTCTAGAGATGGCAAGAGGCATCAGAGGTCCACGAGATGATTTAGAGCATGATTTGAGCCTAAAGAGGTCAAAGATTGAAGATTGGATCGATCGGGAGCGAACAGGGATGAAAAGAGCAAGAAAACGGTTCAAAAGACATCCGCGCGCTCCGCGGGTCATTCCCGCACGCCCCGCGGGTGATTCTGAGAGCTAGAAGTCAAAAAAAGTCCGAACCACACGTCCTGCGGTCCAGAAACATGCCTCAGGGGTGCTTGTACGGTCAGACCGTGCGGGCGGAGCAAAATTTTGACGCGCGGAAGTCCGCGTTGTTGCTCGCACGCCCCAAGATGACCGTGTGGATGACCGCGCGGACCGATTTTCGCCCACTTTTGCCGTTTTTATAAATTCAGCCCTGTTTTTCGGGATAAATCGTACCACGTTTTTTGAGAGCTTTTCTAGCCTTGTTCATCAAGATTGTGGGATTCTTTGTAAGTTCCAACTTTTTAAATAATGACGATTAATTCTTTTCATCCGAATTCTGCTGATTATTCAATTATGAATTGTGAGTAGTTTTAATTAGGGATTGATGAAGGGGTTGGTCATGATAATGTATGATTAGTTTCTTGATGGATTAATTGCATTAATTTTATTTAATTTGTGTTTGAATGATTTGATTGATATCTCTTGTAACCTGGAACGGTCGCTAGGATTATAATTGCACAAAAAATAAATTAAGAGAGATCTAATTTATTCTAGGACACTTTCACACACACTTAATCATTCACTAAGAGATTAGTAACGGTTAAGGAGTCATACGCTCATTCATTTTGGCAATAATTTAGCTACATGTCACATGAAAGATCAGCCTAGTTCCCTAAATTATTGTACTCTACGCCGCGAGAGCGGTTAGAACTTAGTATTGACTAGCATTGCTCAATTAAATAATTTTCACGTGATTAAACCTAATCAGCCAGAAATCTTATTACCCTGAATCAATCTCTATTCCATTCCGTTATTAATTAGAAAGAACGCCTTAATTTTATCTGCTTATTCGCATTAGTTAATTTTTCCAACCAATCAAATCTCGCACATTACATTTTATTTTATTTATTTTAATCGATGAATTTAGTTAATTCCTTATTCCTTTTTCATCCCTATGGAATCTTATTATCCCGAAAAATGCATGCTGTTTTGCCTCTCAATAACTTGTACTACAAAAAAATCATCTTTGAAAAACTATTGTGCCCCCCAAAAGCATCATTTTAAAGGTAGATTCTATGATACCCATGAGGTTCCATACATTTGTCCACATGGACCAATGAGAATGTAGCAGTTGAATTATTTAAATCTAAATTAAAAATGATAAAGTGAAGTGGTCCAATGAAATGAATGATAGATACGGTATCCCATTTTTTAGAAAGGTACCGGAGTTATCACCTAATTTAAAAGCTGATTAAGGTTGGACATAATGTTCATTTGATCAGGGGTTGTAAAATATTTTTCTTTGCATACCTAATTAAGGTCGGACATAAAGTAAATGTACTTCCTCTGTCCAGATTCAATTGGGCACTTCTAGTGAAAACTTATAGTGGGGAATTGACTTTACAATAATATTCCTAATGCATACTTATTTTATGCCAAATCAAGAGTATTTGGTATGTCATGATCTTTGTCATTAGAGTATTTGGTATGTCACGCACAACTTGCATGTGCAAATAGGTAGGTTCTTCCAAAATTTTATATATATGATGCCATAGATTACTTTTCTTTGTTTAAACCCGACAGCAAACGACCCAACTTTGTTTAACGGTACGTGGGGCAAATGTCGAGGAATATTTATCGAGTTTTATTAAAATATAAAAGATAGATGCCATAGATTTACTTACGTCAGTATATATACATGTTATCATAATACTAATTGATTGCTACTTCTTTATGTTTCTTCTTTTCTTTTTTCCCTCTTGTATTTTCACAAATACCATATGTATTGTCTCCAAGGACAAGATTGATAATTGCACCAGTTTGTATGAGGCCCTTAATATTGCTTCTAGCATGTTTATAGACGACATAAGATTGCTCATTTTTATTGATGGATGAATTTAAAATGAAGTATTAACATTTACTGATTTACTTCATTGCTTAATAATATGAAGATGTCTGGGCTGATATGCACAAAACGATTGTAACCGGTCATAGAAGCACTCTATCATTGGTACCTCCACATTTAGTAAGTACCTTATTACATAAGTGGTTGTTTTAATTTGTATTCATATAGGTGTGTTTATTAATTTCATATTCAACATGGTAGAGGTTTAGACTTCACTGCGGGCATAAATAATAAGCTTTTGAGGCATACCACAACCGGAAATGCTTCAAAAGGTTGCCCTATCCACTATGAAGTCTATCCACCCACACTAGTGTAGAAAACACTATCTATATGGGTTAAAAAACACTTTTTATGTCGGTTCCCGTAACGACATCGTAGTCAGCGATATAGAAAATCGGGCACTTTTCGTGTCGGTTAGTCGTACCCCTTATAGAATGTTTTTTATAACGGTTAGGAATTTAACCGTTATAGAATGTTTTCCGTGTCAGTCCAGTAATACCCCATATAAAATCCTTTTTATATGGGTGAAATAACCAACCGTTATAGAAAGTCGACTTTGAAAAAAAAATAATCGCATTTATTGTCATATACGTAGAATATATATAAGTGATTTTATATTTTAAAATGTAATGTTTTTATTAAAAAAAAGCTTTTCATTTTAGCTTTATATATACAATAATATATATTACACTGATGGAGTATATGGGTCTGAGCCCCAGGACCCACATACTCGGAAGAACAGAACACAAAACAACAGAGTGGCGCCCTCGTCGGCCAAGACGCCCCCGTCGGCCGAGAGGAAGCCAACTCGGATTGTGGTCCTGAGTCCAAGGAACCCGGGTGCCCTCGTCGGCCGTGCCCTCGTCGGCCGTGCCCTCGTCGGCCGTGCCCTCGTCGGCTGCGCCCTCGTCGGCCACGAAGACCTCCCAGAATCGGATTCTATACTTGCTCATTTGTACAGCCCATTAGAGGCTTTGTATTCGGCCCAGTAGCGGTCCGGTTGTAAATGGGCCTCCCAAGCCCAAGGCTTGGGAGCCCAACCCTAATTTTCTCTATAAATACTCCCCTTGGGAGTAGTTATAGGGGTTACAAATTCATTCTATTGAAGCATATTATTGCACTTCTCTCTCTAGCTCTCACTTCTCTCTAGAATCTAGGAGATACTCTCTATCATTTGGTGCTCTCGTTGAGAGCTAGAACAATCAAGTTAGCACCCTTCGTCGCTACCAAGCACAGCTAACCACTGATCATGGGGAGAACTAAGTCAAACCGCAACCTCGTCAGCAAAGTCATCCCTGAGGACCAAGAGCCCAGGGAGCACGATCAGGACG